TGTGTGTGTGTGTGTGTGTGTGTGTGTGTGTGTGTGTGTGTGTGTGTGTGTGTGTGTGTGTGTGTATGCCAGTACTAGGGCTTGAACTCAGGGCCTGGGCATTCTTGCTTGGTGGTTAATTATAAAGATTAACCATCGGACTTGCTTCAAACCTTGATTCTCAGATCTCAAGTAGCTAGGATTACAGGTGTAAAACATTGATAGCAGGAGCCCAACTAAATTTTTAAATCATTAAAAAAAAACCCAAGCAGGAAAAATTTAAATATTAATTATATCTGAAATGAAGATCGTATGGAACATATGGCATTATATAAAGCATTATTCAAATTAACTATACTGATCTTTTATTTTGACCCTAAAAATATAAGTACTAGAATTTTCACAAATTACCTATGCCTATGCGGCTTATGTTTCTATTGAACAGCGCCGGGCTGGCTTGTGCTGATATTGGATGAGAGAGATGGAGGCAGTGTTGTGGTGTAGCTGCAGAACCCCTGGTCCTGTCCTTCCTCATCGCATGGCTGATATGGTACACTCAAGGCAGCCAGTGACCAAATGGAGCTACAATGCAGAGTAGCAGCACACTGGGGAATCCGAACTGGGTTCGGGTACCTGGATCTCAAGTTTTCCTTGTAGAAGCCGAGGAACCTGGGGGGAGTGGGGGGGACGGGGCGGCAAGGGCGGGCTTGCCCCGCCACCGTGGATGACAGGATGACATCCATCCTTCAGTCTTACCTGAAAGAATCAGCTGACCCTGCCCGACTCCGGGCGGGTTCCGCCACGGACCGACTAGGTGCTTCCGCTAGGTCCCGGGCGAGCCCCAGGCACCGCAGCCCCGTCATAGGATCCACCAGACAAGGGGTGCCTTTTGCTTGGAGGCCTGGGCGGGGCAAGGAGGAGAGCCGGGCCCGCGTTGCGACTGTGAGTCCTGGCGTTGTCCCGGCAACTCTAGACACCATCCCCTCCTTCACCTTTTCCACCATAATGGGAGCGTGGTGACCTCCCGCGTCCGCCTGCCTGACGCCGTTACCACGGCGACTGCCGCGGGGGCTGGGACCAGACCAATGTGCTCCCGAGGGGGTGAGAGTAGCATTCCTCCGCTCTGCCCTCTAGCACACGGGCATATCAACGACTCCCGGGTACACTTCCATCGTAAAGTCTACTCAATATATCCAAGGGAGTCCACAGGGGTTCCGAAGCAGGCTGGGACTCTCGTGTAGGTTCGCCTTGTGAACCAGCACCCCCCTCTCCTTGGTGGTAGAGTCCGGAACGGAGCCGCGCATGCGTGCGAGGCGGGGCGGGGGGTACCTGAGGCGAGGGTTCCACCGGCCGCGGTGGCGGCGGGTGACCCGGGCTGGGGTCTGGTCTTCGAAGGCGGTTTCAGGAGTGGCTGTTCCCCCCGGCTTCGGGACACATCAGGTACGTCACTGAGCGCGGCAGGCAGCGCAGCCTGGTGTTTCCGAGGCGGGGAGGTCGCTCGGGCCTGCCCGGAGGGGCCCCGCGGAGGCCGGGGCGGTGGTGTCTCTGAAGATCCCGCTGCTGACTGCAGAGGTGGTGCGTGAGCGCAGGTCCACCGCCGTGACTGAGTGCGGGAGGAGCACGTGGCTGCCTCTTCACGCCGGGACCCTTGGTGACAGCGAAGCCTGGGCCGGAGGGCTCACGAACTCGGAGGCTGAGGTCTGAGGATCCGGGGTGGGGGCCAACCGGGGCCCGCAAATCCGGCAGAAGCTGGAAGGGGAGCTGTGGCTCAAGTAGTAGAGCATCAGCCTTGAAAAGCATGAAAGAAGGCAAGTTACAGGTTAGGCGAAGTATTGTGGATTTGTTTTTGTGTGTTTGTTTTTTGTTTTTTCATTTTGTTTTTTTGGTGTTTATCCTGCAGCTTGAACTCAGGGCCTGGGCACTGTCTCTGAGCTTTTGTGCCCAAGGGTAGTGCTCTACCACTTTGAGAGATCTACTACAACTCCACTCCCAGTTTGGGGGTGGTTAATGGGAGATAGGAATCTCCTGGAGCCAGGCGCAGGTGGCTCACACTTGTAATCCTAGCTACTCAGGAGGCTGCGGGAGGCTGAGATCTGAGGATCACGGTTCAAAGCCAGCCCTGGCAGGAAAGTCTGTGACACTCTTTTTATTATTTTTTTAAAATTTTTTTTGGGGGGGTCCAGTCTGTGAGCCTGGGCGCTGTCCCCCAGCTCTTCAGCTCAAGGCTAGCACACTACCTCTTGAGCCACAGCATCACTTCCAGCTTTTTTTTTTTCTGCTTGTGTGGTGCTGAGGAATCAAACCCAGGGCCTCAGTCATGCAAGGCAAGCGCTCTACCACTGAGCCACCTTCCCAGCCCAAGTCTGTGACACTCTTACCTCCAATTAACCACCAGAAAACCGGAAGTGGCACTGTGGCTCAAGTGGTAGAGCACTGGCCTATAATCCTAGCTATTCTGGAGGCTTAGATCTGAGGATGGAGATTTGAAGTCAGCAGAACGTCTGTGAGACGCTTATCTCTAATTAACCAGCCAAAAAAAAAAAAAAGATAACAGAAGTGGTGCTGTCACTCAAGTGATAACACAGTAGCTTTGAGCAAAAGGAGCTCAGGGACAGTGCCTGGGCCCTGAGTTCAAGCCCCAGGACAGACAGACAGACAAAAAGACAGAAAGAAAGGAAGGAAGAAAGGAAAAAAAGAAAGGAAGGAAAGAAAGGGAGGGAGGGAGAGAGAAGAGAGAAAGAGAAAAAAAGAATCTATTCAAAGAATATATGAAAAGATGCTCAATTTAAGTAATAGGGAAAAGCAAATTAAGGCAATCTCATTACATACCTGATAACATGACTACAATTAAAAAGCAGGTGACACCAATTGTTGATAACAATCTCTTGTATATTACAGGTAGGGTGTAATGGATTCCACCACTGGAAAACTACTTGGCAGTTTCTACTAGAACTAAAGATACAGATGTTCTATGATTAACGACCATTCCTCTTAACTAGAGGACCAAAAGATGTTCAGAAATACAGGTCCAAATAACAGCACTCTTTTATTTATTTATTTTTGGTTGTGGGGCTTGAACTCTGGGCCTGGGTGCTGTCCCTGAGCTCTTCAGCTTAAGGCTAGCACTCTACCACTTGAGCCACAGCGCCACTTCTGGCCTTTTCTGTTTATGTGTTATGGTACTAAGAAATCAAACCCAGGGCCCCATGCATGCGAGGCAAGCACTCTACCACTGAGCCACCTTCCCAGCCAGCAGCACTATTTTAATAGTTGAAAAACTAGAAAGAGTCTACATGTCTATCATCTATAGCATGGACAAGTAACTCTTGATGTGATTGTGCAATAGAATATTACACAGCAATGCAAATGAACAAACAACTCTACCACAACATAGGTAAATCTCATAAACTCAATGTTGAGTATAAGAGGCCAGATGTAAAAGAAGACCTCATATATGAGTCTATACTTAAATTGAGTTGACAGGCAAGACTTGTGGAGGCTGATCTGGAAGGTGTGTGTGTGTGTGTAAAACTAATTAAACTTCAGACTTGAGATTTGTAGACTTTTCTGTATAAATGAAAAGTTGACCTCTTCACCCAAGCCCAGGTGATGGTGGAGAATCATCTCCCTGGTCCTGTGTGCACAGCGGTAGGTAGCACTCTCCTGGGAGCTGAGGAAGCTCTTCTGTGTTGTGGTGCTCCCCCTTGGGACACCTCGCATCTCAGAGGACAGGTGACCTTGTGATATAAGAACAAGTGACGGGGGCTGGGAAGGTGGCTCAGTGGTAGAGCACTTGCCTTGCATGCATGAGGCCCTGGGTGCGATTCCTCAGCACCACATAAGCAGAAAAAAAAGCCGGAAGTGGCGCTGTGGCTCAAGTGGCAGAGCGCTAGCCTTGAGCTGAAGTGCTGAGGGACAGCGCCCAGGACCAGAGTTCAGGCCCCACGACTGGACCCCCTCCCCCCCCCCCCCCAAAAAAAAAGAACAAGTGGTAGAGCACTAACCTTGAGCAGAAGAGCTCAGGGACAGGCCCTGAGTTCAAACCCCAAGAGGGGGGAAAGGTAAAGGAAAATCCCTAAGTGGGTACCAGTGATTTATGTCTGTAATCCTAGCTACTTAGGAGGTTGAGATCTTAGGATCGAGGGTCAAAGCCATCCTGTACAGGTAAAGTCCTTGAGACTATTTTTTGGGGGGGGAGGGAGAGTCTGGTTGTGGGGCCACTTCCAGCTTTTTTCTTTTTTGCT